GTTAAAACCTTTTAAAAAATTAATTGCTGCAAAGCGCAATGTGTAGATAGGGATCTCCATAAAAAACTCTCTAATGAAAAAAATAAGCTCGCATCGACGTGTCAAGTAATAAATCAATGATAAAATTGAGGTCGGGTCAATAAACTCGCGTCAAAAAATGTAATTTGACATTTCTCTCTTACTCTCTTTTTTCCTGCAATTGTAGCTTTCCCGCTATTTTACACACGAAAATTTAATCGAAAATTTAATTACCCCAACGAAAGAAGAAATATTTAATCAGTTTCGCCATTATTTTTTAATTTTACATCTTCTTGTCTTATATCTTTTCATTTTTGCTTTTTCTTTAGACGTATTTGTTCTTATTGGACTGATTTGTGAATCTGCAAAAAGTATCGAATAATAAGAAATTCTGAAATGTGTACTATCTTTTGCTTCTTCATAATTAATATATAGCGTATACTTAATCAAATAAATAACGTAGATAAATAGAACATGTTATTAATAAACACTAACAATCTAACTAACGAAACTGTTCAAATATCGACATATTCGTTGATTTCTTAAATTATCGACATGATATATTTTAAGGCGAACAAATAATAAACTTGTTTATAAATTTACACATATCCCATATTTATTTATGATTCTCTATACTCTATGTATTACTTGCAACATATATTCAATCTCGTAAAAGAACTTTAATATTACATATTGATTAATTAAATTCTCTCAAATTAAATAATAAAACGATTTGATATTATATGCATGTTCGCAATCAACATAAGAACTCAAATTTAATTTATTTATAAATTAAAGAATCTACAAATAAATTTCAACAAAATTGGTATATCAATGTATTAATACGCAATGCTAAACTAATATACAATACTAATATATATATATAAAATGAGTGTAAACAATTTTGAAATAACGCAAGCGTAAGCTCATATATGTATAAGTATATTAAATAAGTGTAAACAATTTTGAAATAATTGCTACATTAATTAACCATTTACAATTAATCTGTTTAACGTTTTATAATTACGTTAACGCAATTATAATTAATCTGTTGAAAAACACGAGAGCACTATCCCAAGGAGAACAGAAAAATCAAAATGTCAAATTGACGTCATATTGACTAAATTTATGTCATTTTTTGGTCATGGAAATCTCGATCTCGAAGATGACTAAAAAATGATATAATCATTAAATAATTGTGAAATAATTTTTTATCATTAAAAATGTGTGTTAATTATTTATTTTCATGTGTGGAATATTATACTTAATTTTTTTGAAGCATTTATTATTTTTAATATGGGTATATAATTTTTTTATTAGTGAGCGCTTTGTGTATACGCGGATTAAATACACATTCATTGTGAACATCAAGATGACATCAAAATTTTATGCAATTTGACCATATTTTGACACCTTTTTGACATCATTTTGACATTTCTGTTCTCCTTGGGAAAGCTTAAGTGCACGGAGAAAATTTTCTCTTAGAATTTACCCTGAAAATCATGTTAATTGTGGGACAATAAGATATTGGAAGAATTTTATAAGAATTTCTCTGATTAATATTTACCACAATAAAAATATTAATATGTACATACATAGTAAATTTTATTATATGTATAGTAAAATTAATCGAACATATTTTCTATCTTATTGTGGTAGATATTAATATTTTTAGTGCGTAATAAATATTAATTAGAGACTCTTATTAAATTCTCCCAATACTGCCCCACAATTACCATGATTTTTCGGGCAATTCTAAGAGAAAGTTCTCTCAGTATAGATATCTGAAAAAAATCACCCCTCATACGTAAGCTATTTTTGCAAAAAAAAAAGCGGAAAAAGAGAAGACCTTTCACATTTCTTGCCACTCGCGACGTCTTAGCGCGAACTGCTAATTAACGATCTCGTTATCTTCACGGGTGATTGCCCGCGATATTTGTACGGTAAACGCGATTTGATGGACCCCGCCACTTAATTTCCCGCCTTCGGGACCTGGGTCCCATTGTCTCCGTTAAGTACCACGTGGCAAAAGTAATTGCTCGCGCATCGAATGAGCCGGAACGCTTCCGATAGCGCTTATCGACGCTGAACATGCGAGCGAATTGCTAACGCTCGCGAATACACGGCGGTTTCGTCAGCAGGCTGCGAAAAAAAAGAACAAAACCGATAGTACCCATGAGCGGCCTCGGGGAGGTATTGCATTCGCGCAAAGTGTGATTTGCATCCCTCTCTGTACTTTCAAAAAAAAAAAATAAAAAATGAATAAAGTCAAATTAAAAAGGAATGTTAATTTAGAGATTGAAATTTTGCGAGAGAATAATATCGATTATAATTGTGCATTGTGTTACAAAATCGAACAATTCACGGGTGTAAAAAAAGCGCTCAAAAGACATTTAAATAATGCAATATTCTTCAATAAAAAAAATAGAGATTCGAATTCCGACAAAATGCAATCAAGTCATCGTTTCATCATCTGTTTTGTTAATATACAAAATTGTATAAATATAGTATTAAGAGTAGTTTGATTAATATATATGCAATCTACATGAATATTCTTCTCTCTTATGCATATATAAAATTTATATAACAATAATTATATATGTGTTACATAATATATATTTATAGTTACATACATTTTCTGCAATATATATATATATTTTTTTTTTTCGCTAAAATTCTCTCAAATTTTTTTTACAAGAAAAATTGCAGCGGGCTGACGATTTAGGGTAGTTCGCGAATATTTTCGTGCGAGTTTGCTAATCGGTCGAGGGTAATAAAAAACGGCGGGAAAAGGAGAGGACGAGGAAGGCGGAAAAACGCGGCGGAAAGTCGCTGAAGGATTCTTGCAATTACGAGAGTTTTAGCGACGCGAAAAGTGCGACTCGCGAAGAGTATGCGTAGTAGTAGTAGTCGAAGTACATATTTGAACACGAGAACGAAATGAGGGAGCTTGGGTCCGACCGGAAGAATATATTTCCCACACTAAATTTCCACCATTTCGCGCGTTTCGTGAAAAATCGACGGGGATAAGACTCGTTTGAAAAATTGCGATTTTTTATAGTATTTGTATTATCCTTCAAAAATTGTATTGTTTTATATATTATTTTTTTACACAACTCCTTAATCGCGAATTAATTATTAAGGATTTTTTTTATCATGCATATTAATGCTTCAAGTTATAATGTTCAGGTTTGTCTTATGAGATTCTAATTTTATGATTTTTTTCTTATTTTAATTATTCATTTTTAATTTATGCAAATAATGTTAAAACACAAACATATCGCTTTAAAGTTATATAGCTTATCTGCAAGTCGAAACTTGCGCGACGTTGTAGATGTTCGATATATAGAACAATAACTTTGCAGTCAGGTCGTGTACATGCATATTCAAATCTGCGCAAAAGCATTACATTGCTTTTTCTTTAATAGTTCATATCTTTTCAGAGTCTTAAATTAGGTATTTTTTATCGCCGAGAGAAGATGATAGAAACATTCTGCAGACATATCCAATGAATAGAGTAAATTTGTATCGATGTAAAAAATAAGTCTGAAGAATTTTTCATATTTATTTTTGTATAGCTATATATGTGTTAAATTATTTTATACTTTAAATTCTACGAGATGATTCTTTGTCAAAAATTAAGGAAGGTTTGTTATACAAATATATACTCTTGCATATCCCTCTCTGAGAAGTCAAACTTTTCTAAAGAGGGAGATAAAAATTAAGTTTTTATTTTTTTTTCTCAAATTTCAGACAAATTAAAAAAATGAAACGGAAAATATCCAAGTTTCATTTCTTCCTCAGGTTAATTAATTAAATTTTCGCCAAATAAGAATCAGGGTGCGTCCAGCAGATTCAATGAAAAAATTCCCCGACTTTTTCAGATTTTCCAAGATTAGAAATGAATTTTTTCCCTGACTTTTTAGTATTATTTTTTTCCAAATATATAATTTGCATATATCTATATAATAAGTCAATTAAATGTTAAATCATGAAAAAGGTTCGGAAGTTAAAAAACAAAAATCTAAATCAATTATACAATCTGTATTATGTACGATAATCGAAACAAACATGTCACTATAAACTATTTAAATGATCACCTTTTTTATTTATATTACATCAAATTTTATTTTTAATATATTCTAACAAATTATAATATATATATATTTTAATATATTTAATGGTGTCTAATATCACAACAAAACTTTTAAATAAAACATTTGTAATAAAATTAATGCATTAATTTTTAATAAAAAAATTAATTAAAATAAAGTTTGGCTCAATCGCTCAATATATCCACTCCCTCATTTTATTTCATACAAAACACAAAAAATTAGCATACTGGGAGTCAAGGAAAAGTTATATTTATTTACTAAAAAATTTCAAATTATTGAGACAGATGTAGAACGTGAAAAAATCCAGATAAATAGTAAAATGTCCTGACTTTTCCCTGACAATTTTGATTAATAAAATTCCCTGACAATACCCGGTTTTCCAGATTTCCCTGACCGCTAGACACCTGAGAATCATCCCCAAAAACTTTTCGCACTAATTCCGACGCATCGTATACACGTATATACATATGTACATATATAAGGCAAATGCCAATTTAATTTCGCTCGTCAATTTTCTGTATCAGAGAGCAGGGTGAGCGTGTGGTAAAGACAGACATACGATCGTACAACATATCGATCTCCGATAAGCGTCACGGGGATCTCCTTCGCTCCGCTCCCGCGTCTGGCATACTCGGGCTCTTATCACTGTCACTTTCCGGCCGAGCGACCGACTTTCTTCCTTGCTGGTGGCCGCTCTCGCACCCCCCCACGGCCGGACCAATCGGCGCGGCCCTTTAGCGCGCGCCGCGTCGCGCCGGCAGAATCCGCATGGCGGCGCGGCGTTACACCGCCGGTGCGGCACATGCGCGCGCCCAATCGTCGTATATCTATAAGGGTAGCTACCCTCGGCGAGGCCGGTCAGTTCTCGCCCGTCCGGGAAATCGGGTCGTTGTTCGCGCGATCGCCCGATACAGATCCCGTGTGTATCTCGCGTCGTATCCCAGCATCCGAGACACGCGTCTCTGTCTCTCTTTCCCTCTCTCTCTCTCTCTCTTGATAAAAAACAAAAGGTCCGCGATGCCGAACGCGGCTTAGAAACTCCGTGAACTCGCCAGACGGGAGAGTTTTACGAGACACGTGCGTATATCGTTTATGCGAGTAGAGGGTCACATATTGGTCCCGCTGGTGTTTTACTGATGGGTAAAAGTGTTCTCGCCGTGGGAGTAGTGAATACACACAGTAAGGATCTCGTAAATGCGCGATCGGGTTGTGCCTTGCTCGTCTTCCTTACAGCACACATATCCCGAAGACGGTCGGAGAACATCCTAAGGATGTCCTCTGGATATCCTCTGAATATTCTCTGGGTATCCTCTGGATATCCTTTGGGTATCCTCTGGGTATCCTCTGGGTATCCTCTGGGTATCCTTTGGGTATCCTCTGGATATCCTTTTGGAATCCTCTAGATATCCTCTGGATATCCCCTGGGTATCCTTTGAGTATCCTCTGGATATCCTTTTGGTATCCTCTGGATATCCTCTGGGTATCTTTTGAGTATCCTCTGGATATCCTTTTGATATCCTCTGGATATCCTTTGGATATCCCCTGGGTATCCTCTGAATATCCTTTGGGTATCCTCTGGATATCTTTTTGGTATCCTTTGGATATCCTCTGGATATATTTTTGGTATCCTTTGAGTATCCTTTGGGATATCCGAAGATCTTTCGGATATGTTGTGCTATTAGGGCTATTAAATTTTTTTCGAGAGACGAACTCCAAAACTTTGGGCTCTGCGCTATATTTCCGGGATGCGCCGAATATAAAAGCTCTGTACGTATTTTCGCCCCCGAATAAACGAGGGTTGTTGGCTAATGCGGTGTCGATTTAATCATTTTCGCGTCGCTTGGCTATGCTGATAAATTCGAATGGCGATGAGTTTCGCTTGTACACTTTCCGGCGATGTCGCACCACCGCGATGACTTTATCAGTTGTCGCCATATTTTCAGCGATATACGAAATATCTAGGGAACAGAATTGATCGCCAGCGATACACTCCAATTAGATATAATCGTCCGATCATGCTGACCCGATGACGAATCTTACAGCAAAATATATGTAACGAAATATATTGATGAATGAAGTATCGAGGGTGATAAAATAACACGAGTGGTAAACGTGTGTAATTCAATTCGGGGAATGCATTGATCCACCGAAATCACTTGTCGGAAATATGTATATGTGAAGGAATATTAAGCGAGAGAGATATTTGGAAGCGAGGAGAGAGAAGAAGTTAATCGACGAAAATGTGCACGAATTTAATTGTTCTCTATTACCGATTGCAATGTCGACCGACCGAAATTCTACGGCAATTAGATTTCCGAGTGAGATTCGTATGAGTGTGTCATATTCGCGGAGAGAAAATTGGTTAACAACGACAAAATCCGTGTAATCCAACGTAATTCTCATATATCGCGTGTGAGAACGACGATCAATCGAAATATATACGCTATATATATATATATAGCAATTCGCGTTGCAAACTTTAAATAAAAACATGTACATTTGGCGCGTAAATAAAATGTGTCTGCGTTAATAGGATAAGTAATTAACTAAATGAAATAGAAAGCTACAAAAAGTATTCACGTCTTTTTTTCAATTTTACCTTCGCAGTCGACGATGCTGGCTGACCGTATCGTTAAAAATTGTTTCTATCCCTAGGTTTTATTGGAGTTTAATTTGTTCTTCTATTTTTCCTGAGAAGACGATATAAGTAGAAATAATAACTGACGTAAACTTTAGTAATTATAACTAATGCTTCTAAAAACGCCGTATAAGAAAGTTGTGGATGATCAATGGGTTCTGAATATTGTGAAGCAATGTAAATATAAGTGATATAGATAACAATTTAATAAGAAATCTACATTAAAATTTCAAGTAGCAATTTGATTAAAATTATTGGACAAGATTATTTATTGTGAAAAAATTAATGAAAAAGAGTAATTAATAACGGCTTCTGCTCATACAAAGTGCATTTAACAAGGATGTGTTACAACATTAGTTATATCGTTGAGTTTAACAATTTAACGGTGTAATCATGAGAATTTTAATTAAAATTATAAGCATATTTAATTAACCGATAATGATTTAATAATAATTAACGTGGATATATATGTCATATGGATATATATCATAGATTGCAGGAATAAAATTTACTTTAATGAATAATTCAATCAGTTTCTAATAAAATGCATTTTTTAACAATCGTGAAAAGCATAAAATCTCCATACAATCATACATCTCTCGTTAATTATGAAACTGTGAGATTCTAAGGACGCAAGTTTGACGAGTTTATCGTTCAATAGAGAGGGATACCATTCGCTCGAGTGACTTGTGTCTTTGAGTCAAGAGCTCTGCAATTAGACGGAAGGGTTTGATGTCGGATGACATGCTTCAAGTGCAATCATATATATATATATATATATATATATATATATATATATATGATTGCTCTTTGATCATTAGAAACATGATCATCATAACATAATCCCGGAATAAATTTTGACACGAATATACGCGGACAGAAACTTGCCTCGCTACCTCGAGACTCCATTATTCGAATTGCAGTTCGATAAAAAGGATAAAACGCGTCCGTAAATACGTTATGTAAGATATAACTTGTGTACATTGCGCAAATACATTCGAATTAATTAATATCTATAATTGTGTGCGATTGGTTACGAGCAAAGCAAGTCATATTTATATTTCAAATAAATACTTGATTTTTATTAAAAGGAAATTAAAATCCGCCAACAAATTCTTAAATGTTCGACGCACAAATACTGGGTTTAAACATGTGCTTTGGTTGTAAATAAAAAAATCATCTGTATAATTGTAGAATATAGCAACATGTATAATTCAATTATTAATTACATCAAGTGTGTTATATAATTTTGCCAAAAATATTAAGTTAACATGAAATTTTGACAGTTCAATTATTGCAAAAGTGTATTTTCCACTTCCAGCATTAAACCGTAAGTTAAATTTCTAATAAGGTCAATTCTAATTAAAATCGCAAATTAAATTTCAATAATTGATGCAAACGTTATATTCTGAACTTTAGTTTCCAACTCTTCGTTTCACATTTTTTTCCTCGTGAAAGATATCTGCAATTTCGTTAAAGCGCGATAACCCTGGTAAAATTTTCCGTGGGTGTAATCGAGTGTTGCGCATTTCCGCCCCTAGAACGGTCTCCGGAGAGATTATGAATTAGCAAGCGTGTTTGCTGAGACAATCTCGGACTCGTAGACTAGCAGCTAGCGATATCCCGAGCGCGTCTCGGAATCTAGTTCACCATGTTTAGTTAACGTCAAATGAGTTATTCCGCGCGAGAAGCACAAAATGGATTCGCTGCTTACTGCGCTGCATTACTGCTCGCTGAGTTTACACATAAATTCTCTGCATTTTACATTAACCCCGTCGTCGGGCCTAGTGCAAGGACGCGTTAAAATCTCTCTCTCTCTCTCTCTCTCGAGTAACGATTAAGTTGGCCAGCGCTAAATTGATTTCAAGACGATTGCCTCCCACAACGCGTAAATTTCATCAATCGTCATTCGGTCTCGCGATTTTTTATTTTTTTACATATTCAAATTTTGTTCATATGTATACAGTGTTTGTTAGTGTCTAAATAAAATTGAGTTTATTAAAATGAAATTTTGGCGTCATCTTATCTTTATATAAAAGATAATATAGATGAAAAAAAGTATTACTAAATTATCTAGGATAATTTTCAGATAATTTTCGTTTAGAATCATAACACATAAAAATACTTAAAATAGTAGAACTTAAGCAGTAAGCGATAAAAATTTATAAATAAAAATATGAATATATTTTTATATCCCTTTTATAATTTACAATTTTTTTATAATCACCAGTTTTTTTTTTAAATCACCGTATAATTTTATCTTTTATCTAGATATATATTTAAAACAAAATTGTAAGGTAAATTTATATATATATTTTTATCGCATCTTCATCTAGCTAATTTTAAAATTATCCAAGCACAACACTGTATATATAAAAAAATCTGTTTGAATCTAGATAAAGAATGCTAATAATTTATTGTAATTCTTTCGTTATGTCTGTGTTCAGTTGTTCGAAACTAAAAATGTGAAAAACCCAGAGAAAAAAGAATGAAGGATATAAAAATCAAGAGGACAATTCTAACAAGTAGTGTAGTTTGTTGTTTGGGCAAACGGGAATGTTGAAAATCCTTGTGTTGTAAAGAGAATATCGGGCCAAATCGAATACATCGATTCGATGGCTTGAAACGCGATGCTATCGCTAGTATTGCGGGTCTCGATGTTGTAATTGCATTTAGAATGAAACAGGATACTATTGAAGTTTCTCCTAGAACAATATTCCCTAAGGCACTGGAAACATAGTTGTAAAATATAACAGTAGGAATACAAACGGTATATATTCATCCATTAATCCAAATTCACATCAAGTATATGTTAATTTTTCCGAAAATATCAAGTCAATATTTTCTTAATGAAATTTCAGCGGTTGCTGCAAAAGTATATATAATTTTACCATTTTCAACATTAAAGATTCTAATAATTAAACGTCCAAGTTTAAATTCTAAGGTTAATTCTAATTAAAATCGAAAATTAAATTTTAATTATCGATGCAACCCCGGATACCCTCAAATTTATTTTCTTAATTACAATTCTTTGCTTTACACAGACAAAAAAATCATTAAATTAATAAATATTTATTTCAATACTGACTAATAAATCATATATTTGAAACAAATAACTATTTATCTGTTTCGAAAAGGATTTTCTATATCAAAAAAATATTTTTCACATTAAATCAATATTCTTAGTTTCAAATAAATAATTTATTGAAAGTTAAATTTTAATAATTGATACAACCCCGGATACTCTTTTTATTTTCATAATTACAATTCTTTGCTTTACAAAAAATTATTATATATATAAATTAATAAATATTTATTTCAATACTGTCTAATAAAAAAATTATATATTTGTAACAAATAAATATTTATCTCTTTCGAAAAGAACTTTCTTATATCAAAAAAATATTTTTCACATTAAATCTATATTCTTCGTTTCAAATAAATGATTTATTAGGCAGTATTGAAATAAATATTTATTCGGACTCAATAATTTTTCCAATTAAATTACTATTTTGTTAATTGAACATATATTAGTATTTAAGTCAAATATACGTTTTGTTAGATTTAATATGTTACATTTAATTTAAATATTTTTAATAGGAACGATATATTTAATTCGACCCAAACTAGCCAAGAAATTTTTATTTTATTTCCATAACGTTTCACACGTTGTGGAAATAAAATAAAAATTTCTTGGCTAGTTTGGGTCGAATTAAATATATCGTTCCTATTTTAAATACCACTAGCGACGTTTTAAGTATTCAATTTGATTAAATATTTTTAATTTAAAGATTTAGTCGCGAGTTACGAAATTTTTTGTCAGTGTACAAACGCAAAATAAAATAAAATAAAATGTTCGAGCACAAAAGAATTCGCAATTTCAGACGCTTAGCGGCCAATTTGGAGTCCAGTCGAATTCTCCCGCATCATGAATTCTAGGGATTCCCCTGCCGATACAGGGCCACTGATTAATGTTGAATGCGCGTTTGATAAATGATCGACTCCTCGACGAAGAGGAAGACGGTGGAGAATCACTGGCCCGATGTGCTCTCTCACGGCTCGTAGCTGCGGTTTGATCGAAAGGATATTTCCTCCCTCATACACACGCGAAAACTTCTTCCGAAAGATAAACCGCTCTCTTTCAGCCTCCGTCCTCGGGCACAAAAGTTTCCGCGCGCAACGAAGAAGATTCGCGAAAGATTTTTTTTCTCGTCGCCGCGACGTAATCCGAAGAAGGTCGGCGGAGTTTCGTTTAGGAAATTTATAAGAAACTAACGAACACGAAACTCTCTCGGCCGGAAATTCTCGAGATACCCGAAAAGCGATCTCATTCAATCGCGGAACCGAGTCCGAGTATAATTCGGAGAAGTTATGAAGCTTGATGAAGAGATACAATTCTAGAGATACTTTGGTTTGCAAATAATCGCGAAACTAAGAAGTAATTAGGAACAACGTACAGAGGATAATATTAAGTAACAGTACACGTGAAACGTAAAACGGAGCATTCAGCTTTAAAATTTTTATTTTTATTTTAAAAAATTATATATATATATATATATATTTTTTTAAATAATTTTTTATTTTTTATTTTAAAAATTATATATATATAATTTTTAAAATAAAAATTTAAATTTTAAAGCTGAATGCTCTATATATATATATATACGTATATTTAATATTTGTAACATATTGATTATATATTAACGAATAAAGTATATATTTCAACAAAATTAGAATTTTAATAAAGAGATTCTGAAACTTATCAATTTTAATTTAAAGAACGTTGAAATAAGAAACAAATCATAATGTAAAATATTGAAAAAAATGATTCGTTACTCGTACATTTTTTGAAACTATTCCTTTTCGCGAACATTGTATAAATAATTAAAAAATCTGACTTTTCAACAGAAACTTGTTGACCGCGATGCATTGCGCGTCAACTCGTTAGCGTGCCTGTCACGTGTGCAAGTCTTTATAATCCTCGAGGTTGCAGTGAAAGTAGGTCGAACTTTCGCATGGAAGGAAATTAGGGACGAGTTTCCGCGTGCATCATTTCTGCGAGAGAGAGAGAGAGAGAGAGAAGATCGATCTTGGAATTATTAGGTAATTACCCTGGTGCGGCGGGAATAATTCCAGAATCGATTACACGGGGTCAGAGGTCGAGGAAAACCGACGAACAGAGGACGATATTTTTAAACCCTTCTCTCGCGCGGAATTAAGTGCTATCTCGTTTAATATTAGATCGCTCGCATATTTCTATCAAGTGATATTATGCAACTCTCGGAATTAAAAAAAGTTCCGTCTCGTTTCAATTTCGATCGGTTCCAAAATAAATTATAAATATGTACCGATACATCGAGCGATATATTTAAATGTTTTCAAAATAATTTTTCGCAAACAAAAAAAATTGTGTCGTGCAAAAATAAAAATAAAAATAAAATTTTTTAAATAGAATATATTTATTATACATATTGTCAGAAAAATAAAAATAAAATAGAGAGACCTTGCGGACGAACAAGGCACACTACCCTTTCCGTATTCGAAGAATCGAGGGTCGATTTCTCGAGAATGGCGAGTCAGAGCGTGGGATGAATTTTGCAGAAAATCGAGAGCGCGCCATAACGCCGACGAGGACGACGAGGACTTTATATGAGACGGCTCTACGGCCCTTAATGTCTCCATCGTGAGCCGTCGGTAGCTATCCTACACGTGCGGGACTCGGTCCTGCGGGACTCGGGATCACTCGGGTGGTGGTGAGAAGGAGAGCGAGCCGAGAGAGCTGAGATAAAAGGACGATGGGGGTGCCGGACGTGGAGCAGGCCAAGAGGCGACTCCAGGACATCCTGAGGCGGGCGCAGAAGCTGGAGATACCGACGCAGGAGGTGATCTCGACGAGAACGGCGCGGAAGTTGCTCGCGAGGACGCGCAACGTCCTCGCGTGGACCATCTGGATCGGCGTGTTCGTCATCCTGCTCAGCGGCGTCGTCTACGCGCGCTGGCCGACACGGCAGGACGTGGAGACCGTCAGGACCGTGCTCAGGCGAACGGTCAGTAGATTTTGATCTCGATATTAGATTTTTACCGAACCAATTTTTTAAATTCATTCGGAGGACTAATAAGAGCCAGGCATTTATTATTTGCTCCGTTATACATATTTATTTTTTAGGCATTTCACATTTTTATATTATTTTATTTTTAATTTATTTCAAATTTTTATTCTAATTTTATTTTCAATTTATTTCAAATTTGTTATTTTTAGATTAGAAGAATGTAAAAATAATTTCGTGACATTTCATATTTGTGCCTGGCTTTTATCATATCTGAATTCGATTTTTATAAAACAAGAGATACCTCTTTTCTTGTTAATACGCTTCAAATAATGTTTAAATCGAAGATTCTTTTAAATATTCAGAGGGCTAATAAAAGCCAGGCACTTATTTTATTTGCTTTCTTATATACTTATTTTTAATTTGTTTCAAATTTTTATTATAATTTTATTTTCAATTTATTTCAAATTTGTTATTTTTAGATTAGAAGAATGTAAAAATAATTTCGTGACATTTCATATTTGTGCCTGGCTTTTATCATATCTAAATTCGATTTTTATAAAACAAGAGATATTTCTTTTCTTGTTAATACGCTTCAAATAATGTTTAAATCGAAGATTCTTTTAAATATTCAGAGAGCTAATAAAAGCCAGGCACTTATTTTATTTGCTTTCTTATATACTTATTTTTAATTTGTTTCAAATTTTTATTATAATTTTAATTTTAATTTATTTCAAATTTGTTATTTTTAGATTAGAAGAATGTAAAAATAATTTCGTGACATTTCATATTTGTGCCTGGCTTTTATCATATCTGAATTCGATTTTTATAAAACAAGAGATACCTCTTTTCTTGTTAATACGCTTCAAATAATGTTTAAATCGAAGATTCTTTTAAATATTCAGAGGGCTAATAAAAGCCAGGCACTTATTTTATTTGCTTTCTTATATACTTATTTTTAATTTGTTTCAAATTTTTATTATAATTTTAATTTATTTTCAATTTATTATTTTTAGATAAAAGGAATGTAAAAATAATTTCGTGACATTTCATATTTGTGCCTGGCTTTTATCATATCTGAATTCGATTTTTATAAAACAAGAGATACCTCTTTTCTTGTTAATACGCTTCAAATAATGTTTAAATCGAAGATTCTTTTAAATATTCAGAGGGCTAATAAAAGCCAGGCACTTATTTTATTTGCTTTCTTATATACTTATTTTTAATTTGTTTCAAATTTTTATTATAATTTTAATTTTAATTTATTTTCAATTTATTATTTTTAAATAAAAATAAAAGAATGTAAAATTTTGTGACATTTAATATTTGTGCCTAGCTTTTATCACATCTGAATTCGATTTACCTATATAAAAAAAGAGATATCTTTTCTTGTTAATACTTCAAAAAATATATCTCGAAACATAAACTTTTCGTGTCCATTTTTCACAAATTGAGAAATCGAATTTTATAGCTTTTGATAAAAAAAAAACTCTGAAAATATCGCGATTCTCAGAAACGAGCGATATTTCTTCCCTCTTCTCGTAATTTCCTAAATTCCCGGAATCTTTTATGAAGAAAATACATTTAAATTCGCATAAAACTTTCTCAAACATACGAATTACCCTTTTCTCATTTCGTTTACACAAAAGAAGAATAAAAAACTCTCTGCACTAAAAATGTTCTTCTCATTCTTTTCTTCGTTTCTTGCACTTTCTGTTTTTCCGCGATGATTTCGTCGAACGCATCTTCGCTTCGTTTCAAGAAACGACTTTTGACTCTCTATCAAATATTCGCATCGTCAATATCGCTTCTCTCCTATCTTTTAACAAAAAGTATTCGATCTGTTTATCGATATCGATCCGTCGTCGTTCGAGAATAGGCGCCTTGAAATTTTCATCCAAACGATCGCGATATCTCGAGCCGATACGCTGCGTTTCGGTCAATTAAACACGCGATCGTAGCCATCGTAATAATATCGATAATGCCGAAGAAGCATTAGGGGTAGGAAAATAAAAATTCACCAGTGATATTTATTATGGACAGCAGCCCGGAGACGGTTACGAGCGATAAACGGGTCAGACCACGGCATGGAAAATTCTCCTCGTAAATGGAAAGATGCAAACAACCGGTTACGAGAAAAGCGTTTCCGGCAGGATAAAAGCCGATCGATCTTTCGCATCTTTGTTCTATGCATTCCATCGATTCCGCGATCCTTTTTTTTTCGAACTATCGCGTATCGATATAACAAATCATTATTCCGAGAAGCATCCGTGAAAAGTTTTTACATGACAGTATTTTATATGACAATTTAAAAGAAAATATATATAATAAAGATAGATATAATATAATAAATAGATAGATCGATATAATAATATAACATAATAAAGATAGATATTATTTATGCTAATATAAAAAAGAATAAATATAATAGAATAATATATGAATATAATATAATATAATAAATAAAATAAATATAATATAATATAAAGATGGATATTGTTTATGCTAATATAAAAAAGAATAATTATAATATAATAAATATAATAAATATAATATAATATAAAGATAGATATTGTTTATGTTAATATAAAAAAGAATAATTATAATATAATAAATAAAATAAATATAATGAAGAGAAAAGTTGAAAAGAATATTGTGTGTTGATAGGTTATTTTTAACAGGCGGATATATATATATTTTCTCTGAAATCGACATGCGAATGATTCGATTTTACGGTTTCTGCTGCATTCGGTCGATGATTCTCGATCGAAGCGAGCTTCGGCCATATTTCCCGATGAATTTCAATATTATCGATGCTCGATCGCGCAAAATCCCACCAAAGGAATATCGAACTCGGCGTTAAAGGGGCTAAAAAAATCGGGGGTAATGAAATTGCCTAAATAAAAGAGATTGCGGGTTCAAAGAGAGCCATCACATATGACCCATTCAGAGTGCATACACACACATATATATGTGTGTGTGTGCGTGGTGATTGATCAGTAAAATCATTTTGTCAATCTTGTCAAATTTGAGTTGCGTTTCAACGTTGGATATGTTACGACGATATTTTTGAAATAACCTCTCTCTCTCTCTCTCTCTCTTGAAATTACAATTATATCATATAACGAAATTTGCAAAAAACTCGCGATCCGATAGAGTGCTCTCTGGAAAAAATACTTCGATATAAATATATTAAAATGGATGATATCGAATAATTGAAAAATATATAAAAAAAATATATATACATATATAGAGACGGATAAAGAGATAAAAAGATAGATCATCAAAATAGATCTTCCTGGTATTAAAAAAAGTTTTCACCAGTGTTGGAACTCGATACATTCTGGAATATAATGTTACGTGGACCAGTTATCGTGAAAACCCAATCAAAATTAGCAGTCGCGAAAACTAAATATTTCGGTTTCTCGATTAAAAAAAAAAAAAAAAAAAGAAAAATAACAATACGCACCGCACGTACGCTTTTTTGTTTCGAAACAAACACTGGCGGCGTTATTTGTAATTATTTCAAAACGGCCGCGACCGTATATGTTTCAATTTACGCTTCGATATCTTCGTTTTACTTTTTCGTCGCGTATATTTGTTGCTAGTTGCATAGTTGCGTTCGTTTTTCCCCGAGTAAACGTTAAAACGCCAACGGTAGTTCCGCTGTTTGTTAATTAAATAAGAGCTAAAAATTACAGGTCGGTTGTATTAATGAGAAAGAACGCAGTAGAATAAAAGCCCTATACCTCGGCGACCCTCGAACAATTGCAATTTTTCTTCCATTGTTGAGAAAAAATGTATTCCAACCTGATTGAAGAATTGGACTTAATAAAATTTTAAATCGTTCCTTTTATCCACTTTGTATCTTTTATATATATTATATATATTATATATTATACATATATCATATATATTATATTATGTTTAATTTTTAAAAATATTTAAAGCTTTTTTTCACGGAGAGATTATCCACTTTGTATCTTTTATATATATTATATATATTATATATTATACATATATAATATATATTATATTATGTTTAATTTTTAAAAATATTTAAAGCTTTTTTTCACGGAGAGATTATCCACTTTGTATCTTTTATATATATTATATATTATACATATATAATATATATTATATTATGTTTAATTTTTAAAAATATTTAAAGCTTTTTTCACGGAGAGATTATCCACTTTGTATCTTTTATATATATTATATATTATACATATATAATATATATTATATTATGTTTAATTTTTAAAAATATTTAAAGCTTTTTTTCACGGAGAGATTATTTAATAATTTCATTCATAATTAATTTAACAAAATTGTTAATATTAAATTTTCCGTTTAGAGTTACACTTTTTCGATTCTATTACATTGTTAAAAAAATTATATAATTTATAAATCTTATTAAATATTCTACATATGTGTTCTGACTTGAAAATAGCGACTTTACAGCTAATATTTTAGATATAAATCTTCATTTCTTTTGTACTTTCTAATTTTCTAACTTATCTGGGAACAACACGATATCTGATCTCTCAGTCTTTTCTTCTTCGTTTTCCAAGTTTGATAATTCGCGCCCTTTCTTTTTCTTTTCTGCACTCTATCGCTTGCCGCGAATCGAGACGTCGAAAAGCAGCTGGAGAGCTTCCTCTCTCTCTCTCTCTCGAGGTGCTCAATTTCCATGGAAATGGCATCGAAACAGCGCGATTTCCCGCACTTTCCCGCCGCTGCTGTTCCTCGTCACGATTCTCTCACTTTCATGCACGAGTTTGCGTAAATACGAGCGCGCGGACCCGCTTTCTTCTCATTCAGACAGCACTTTTCATTCAATCGATTACTGCGCGTGTTTTTCGCAGAAAGAAAGAAAATATAGAGAGAAAGAAAAGAGAGAGTTAGAGCGTGAAATAGTGAAGTGCATACATATGTACTCGTCCCACCAAATGACACACCGCGTGTCCTAAATTCAGTCGAAACTGGAATTTCTTTTA